TAGCAATTGGTTAGATACACTCTACATAGTGCAAAGGAGAGGGAGATGAAAATTGCATCTCTTTATGGCAGCAGGACTGAGGGTTCTCTAGATGGAGAGACATTACATGGGGAGAACACCAGCAGCTTCCTCAAAGGGATTCCTTCAACAACCTCTTCCACTTGAGTTGCTGTGAAATGTTGCCTCCTTCTGACATTATCTCTGCTTCAGTAAATCCAGAGGCATTTGTTTGGGCAGTTACACTTTATAATGTTCATAAAAAGGCAGGAAGAAGAATCTAAAGTCACTCTGATTCAAGAACTACTCATTTCTAAAATGCAATTTTGGAAGCTCAATCAGAAACACCCATGACTGAATCTTCCAGGCATTTAAGAAGAAAATCAAATGGACTGTCAATGGCAAAAGCTCAGACACCTTCAAGCCAAAAGAATGATTGAGACCATACCATGGGCTTCTGCGCAAAAGATATTTACATTTCCAACATGCCACAACTTTGGAAATGTAAAGCATCATCTGTGTTGAGAAATATGGGAATAAAATCTGAGATTCCTGTTCTAGTCAGGAATGAGTACTGTTATGGAAGCTAAGATATCCAAGTATGAAATGTACAATCAATGCAGTAAACAGAATGCAAAAAACCCACTGAAACCACATGAGATTTCTAATGATATCTTATTTATAGATCTATTTGATCTATAACAAAATGATCCACTATTAAGTAATCTTTATGCACAATTCTAAATAAGCTGCTGCCTACCACAGCATGCTGTTTGTACATAACAACATGCTATATGTTGCAGTTTGACCACATGGGTTTCCAGATGATTTAAAAAAAGACAATAGACCACATTCCATCCACAATCATTTTTAGCATTTTTGATAGATTCAGATATACAAAGTCAAATACTTGCAACATTAGCAGAGAAGCCAGCAAAATAGCAAAGGACTTGATTTAATAAGAGACCTGAGAATTTCCATCCTTACCATTGTTGGAATATTCAGCACAGATCTCTGTTGGGATCACCAGCTAGAGCCTCACAGGCAGAAATAAAGAGCCAGAATCTAAAAAGCTTCTTGGACCAAACTTAAGTAATCCAGAAATATTGATCATTAATTATCATTATAGCTCCAAATGGTCACGGTTTCATTTTGTGATGTACTGTGCAGTATGAATATATAACAAAGAAACAGTTATTCCCTAAAAACAGCTCTATACACAAGGAAGCTAGGTTTTGGGGTTTTTTTGGCATCCCCTTTCTCTACTGCAAGTGAGATGAAAAGTTGTATTCCAAATAACAGGTTGCTGACGACCTGCCATGGTAATAGTGATATCACCCACTCCAAGGTCAATGTAATAACCATTCTCTCAGTGCTGGAGAGAAACAGATGTGATCTAACCCAACCAAAGGGAAGACTGTTTCCTTTCCTTTGAGGATCTCCAGGATTCTACTGACAGCTCCTAACCTGGCCATTGTTAATTAAAAACACCAAAACAGAAGAAAAAGCCTCCAGACGGATGAGACATCTCAGTAGCAGAGCCAAGCCACTGCAAAAAAAACTCCTTGGAAAACAGGAAGGGTGTCTATAGACATGCTAGGGGGTAGGGGTGGGTAGGGTGCTTTTTAATTAGGGCAGTTTCTGGAAAGACACTCGAATTATAATGCCTCACCCTCATATGTATTAAATCTCCTGTGTTTCAAAATGGCTGTGGGGATGCTTTAACTAAAGCTCATCTGATGAGTTTCAATTAAAGCACCCCCGTGGCCATTTTGAAATATGGGATGCATAATACATGTGATGGTGAGGCACACTGGAGCTCCAGCAAACTTGATCAATCAAGTCTGCTCTGATGTGTTCCAATTAGAATGCATCAAAGCACGCCCATAGGCATCCAAAGTGATCAGAAAGATACCAATGTCCAATAAAATGCAAAAAAAAAAGGCCTTTATCTGCCAAACATTTCGGGTCGTCTGCCCTGATTTCTGTCCTATCAGTGTGATCTGTGTTAACTGTTTGGTTTTTTTAATTTGTAGCTGTGTTTTTTGCATGTGGATAGTACATTTTGTTTATATTTGGTTAAAAAAAAAAACAGAGGAATTTCTGGGATTTACCATCACTCTGACATAGGGCACAGCTATACTACACCTGGTCAAGAATCTAGCAAAACATACTTTCTCCAAGTAAGAGTTTCTCTCTAATGCTGAATCTTTAAGGTTTAAGATGCACATGTTGTTGTGGGAAAGCAGCTGGAAGACATCCATGCGTTTGCTGCAAGCTAGCATTGGCCATAGAGTTCTGCCTTCTTAGATGCTCCTCCCTCTCTGACCACCACCTTTAGCTACTGCTCCAATTTCCTGGCTTGCTGATGAATGCCCCCAGCATGGCTTTTATTTCTTTATTGTATAGGTCCGGGGAAGCTGCAGGCCAGGGCTGCACTTTCTGCCAGTTGGTATTCAAGTAAGGCATGTACAAGTCCTCATCTGTGAGGGCACAACTTCTATTACACTTTGGAATGCAATCTCACAGTGAAGTGTTCAAAGTGTTGCTTGGAATACAAATGTAAATAGGAGAACGCATTATAAATCTTCCTGGAGGGAGAAGTCCTGCCTGGATGAGCAGGAGAGATTAGGAGATAGATGCAGTAAAACTAATAGGTTCAGGTTTTGGAACAGCTGCGATCCAGAGACCTTCAGAGCTGAAAGCATCTTGATACAGCCAGGCTTGCTAGCTGATGTTTGCAAGAAACTCAGCTCCCCCGTGGACAGGCTCCAGAAGGAGGCACAGAACAGACTAAGCAGTGGATCATGTTTGCTGCGCAGAGAGTCCTACAGGTGTGTTCTTTGTGCCACTGAACAGTACAGTGACTCACAGACCTTTGCTCTTGCACACCATTCTCTGCTCACCCATTTCAGTAGTGAAACAGCTCTTTTACTCAGGCAATGAAACTCTCTCTGGAGAGAGCCAAATAAGTGTTTTTTCTGCGATGGTGCATAAGTACCTTTTCATAATGGTCAATAATGGGTGCCACAAAGAAAGAAATTAGGAAAAAAACCCAGATCAAACCTACCAACCATTAGGCAATGTCAGGGATGTTGTAATGGCCACATGAAAGATCCTGCCTGGTCTCCTTTATACAGTAGCTCTTAACCAGGGGAGGGCAATTATTTCATCTGGAGGGCCACTTAATGAGTTTTGGTGAGCTGTGGAGGGCGGCAATGGTAGCCCTGCCCCTTGAAAGGTGCCCTGCCCACTAACCCCTGACCTTTGCCATTGAAAGTACCTCTCCTTGCCCCCAGAAGTGCTCCTTTTGCAGGAGGGAGTGCCATCTTGGAACCAGAAAAAAGCCAAATCATATACTAAAAGTCAAACATCTACTATAACATATTTTAATTTTATTTAAAAAATATTTTTGTCCTGATTAATGTGCATTTGTGTAGTGTATATAGAGGTGATTACACAATAGCTCAAAAATAGTCTTACTCTTGTATATTGTGTGTGGGGTATGGTGTGTGGGGTGTGTATGTCTTTGGGGTTTGTGGAGCAGTGTGTGTGTGTAGGGGTATAGGGTATGTTGGGGGTGTGTGTATATGTGGGAGGAACGTGGGGGTTATGGGCAGGGTGTGGGTGTGTGTGGGGTGTGAGGGAGGCTGGAGCGGGTGGGGACCCAGTTTTAGGAGCTGCATGTAGTGGCAAAGAACAGAGCCAGGCCAGCCTGGCCGACCAGCCTCTATCACGCAGGGCTCACATATAGCTCCTGGGACTCGCGTGCCACAAGAGGGAAGCCCATCACAATGGAGCCAGCTGCCTTTCCCACTCCCTGCTGCCATGTGCAGCTCATGGGACTCCGCTGGAAGTGGCGGGGAGCCCTGCTCCCTGCTTACCTGGCTCCGCTTCTTGCCACCACATGCAGCTCCCAGACCTGGCTGGAGCTGCATGCTGCCTGGTGGCTGTGCCCTCATGGGCTACAAGCACCCTGAGGGCCAGCTACCTCCTACTGCTGCCGGTGGTGACAGAGGTTGTGTACCATGAGGGGGCTCCCCCATCCTCCCTCACACCCCACAAACCCCACACATACCCACACCCTGCCCATCCGAGCTCCATGCTCCTGCCACCCCACTGAGCTTGAGTCCTGGGCTCTGTGCTCCCACCAGTCCAATGTACCATGCTCCTACCCAGCTGCAGCTTCTTTACCTGGTGCCCGGAGTGAGCACTGCAGCAGGGACATGAGGAGGAGCTGCTGGAGGGGAAGCCGAGGGGAAGCCACTGGAGGGGAAGCTAAGCAGGTCTGCTGGCAGCTGCAGCAGTGGCAGCAGCGGCCCTGCCCAGAAGTTGTGAATGCTGGCTGGAGCCATGGCCCTTCTGCACAGGAGGGTGGGAGTGAAGCATGTGGACTGGGTGGGGTACAATTAATTGGTGGACACCCACGGGCCAAAGAAATCGCTTGATGGGCTGGATACAGCCTGTGGACCTTATTTTGCCTTCCCCTGCTCTTAAAAATAAGCATGTACTAAATGTACAGTCTGGAGGAATTTGCTGGACAGTATCCAATCACATTTTCAGTCATACACTTCTACAATGCTGCTCCTCTGATTTACATCAGTTCTTATTCATTAGGAAGCTAAGCTAAAATATGAGATATAGGGCTGTAATTGTATAGGGCAAATCCTACCCTGGTTCTCTGGTGAGATTACACGATTATGCATTTGACATAGCATTTTAGAACTACTCATTAATGCAGCAGTTTGCAAGCAACCAATTTTTAATTCTGAGCCTGCTTTTGTTATAAGAATTAAACAGAAACCCCAGAAAAAGAAGCCACTAGAGGAAATAGTACTGCTGATTATAATAAAGAACATGTCTGTTCCATCCCATGTCACAAATGGGGCATCTAATGGGATTTGCTTTATGAAAGCTACCCAGCATTTTTCTAGTACTTTTTATAACCTAGCACAACCTCAGTACATCTTAGAGAGGATTGTGGTATCATAAATGTGAATTACCTGGGCACCGTGGGCAGCACAGTTGTGACACATGCACTGGGGTAGGACAGTGTAGGTTTGGACATCTTATTCTGCTGCACAGTACGTTCCCATTCTGGGGGAGGAATGCAACAATAAAATAAATTAATGTATTGGGTCATCTCACATTGTTCAGTGATCTCTATTCTTCACCTAGCTGTTCTGGTGCTGAATGTACGAAGGTTGAGATTCTGATTTCAGCTGAAATCTAGGATACCTCAACTCATTCTGATTTACATTAGTCACCTATACATGTGCCAGACGTCTGCTCCAATGCATGCTAATTAACACGCAGCCTCCAGCAGCCTTTGCATCATATGTATTCAGCATCCCTGCATTTCAAAATGGTAGCGGGGGCTCTTTAAAGCTTGAATGAGCTTTAGTTAAAGTGTCTCCCCCGCCACACCCATTTTGTAGTGTGGGATGCTGAATACACATGACGCTGTAGGCACTTTAATAACAGTGGCTCCTAAGAGCCTCCCATCCACCCCAGAGCACAAGTAAAGATGCCCTGAGATCTGAATGCGGCACAAATCTACAAAATAGCATAGATGTTTTAAGTTCAAAAGAAATGCCTAAAATGTGGGATCAGAAAAATTTTCACTTATGTAGTCAAGCTGCTTTTGAACCAAATTATATTGAGTAACTGCTTTTCCAAAGCTCAGGAATAGATAATGAATAGTGGGTCTCCAGGGCACCCCCTGTTGAGGATTAGTTCAAGACCACAAGAGACCATGAGGTCTGCAATTTTTCTTAAGGCTGCAGAGATTCCTCTGTTCTTATTTTATTGGTTCCCCAGTAGACAAAGAAAACCAGCTGGTAAACAGTCATTTTTCTACGAAATCTGAGCAGGACTTGGGAATAGTGTTCATTATTCACATGATTAACATAATATTCTATTTGACCCTATCTAGGCTTGATTTATAATTAAAACATAGGGAATTTTCAGTCTTCTATGTCTGTAAACCATCTACATTATGCTAGAAAATACTGACTGTTTCAGATTTCCACTTCTCCAACCATAATTCATACCCTGATTTAGCTGTAGAAATTACTTGTGTTTGTAACAAAAAAAGACCTTCAATCTGAACATTTGTCACAGTTTGTAGTTTAAGGTGTACCTTAAAATAAATCCTCTTAATTTTCACATGGTTATCAGAAATATGAGACTGGTGCAACTAATGAATTTCCATTTGATTAGGCTTTAACTTTCACTACACACAGTTTCCTTGTATTCATCACAAAGTGCAATTCTGTTCTGAAAAAAAGTGACTCTCAAATGGGCAGTAATCAGATTCTAGGATTTTGTGTCTCAGTGGGTACGTTTACTCTAGAGTAATTTACTCTAGAGTAAACCTACCCCAGGCAGGCGTCTACATGTGTAGGGAAGCAGAAGTAGATTTGTTGCTCAAGGCAGCAGTCTGCTTCTGCCCCCACCAGCCCTGCACTGGTCCCCTGCAGCAGCCAGAGGGAGCTCTAGGCTCCCCCGGGTGCTAGCCCAGGCAATGGCAGTGAGCACAGGGCCAGGGGACAGCTGTCTCCTGGCAGGGGCTTGGGAGACTGTTCCCTGTCCTTGGGAGCTGCCTGGTGCCAGGGTGGGCTCCGATGGCAGAGCCAAGGCAGTTACAGTGTCCCACTGCCATGGCAGCATGGCGCTCCCAGCCCTGGCTCGCTGATCAGGGGCAGGGGGCTTGGAAAGAACTGAAGGGAAGGGGCAGGATGATCTGCTGGTGGGGCAGCTAGCAGCAAGCCTCTGGCTGGGTGGGCAATCCTCTGCCCCTCCCCTTCAGCTCTTTCCTAGCCCCACACTTTGATTGCCTGATTGGAGCATAGGGATGGGACCTGCCCCTGACTGAGACAGTTCCCAGCCAGACCTGGGCTGCATGGGGAAGACTGCACGTGCACCCTGGAGCTGGCTGGGGACTGCCTAAAATGGGACAGTCCCCAGCCACCTCCAGGTTGCACATGCAGACTTCCCCGTGCAGCCCAGGCCTGGCCAGGAATTGTCCTGATTAGAGGCAGGTCCCAGTCAGCTCCAGGCTGGGCAGGGAATTGTCCCTGTGCAGGGAGCTCCCAGCCCCAACTCCATGATTGTGAAGCTGGGGCTGGGAGATAACAATCTCCCAGCCCTGGAGTGGGGGTTCAGAGCTCCCTGCTGTTGGGGCAGAGGGATGTTGTCTCTGCCCAGGCTTCGGTGGTGGAGCCCGCCTTAGCAGCAGGCAGCTCCCGAGGGGAAGGAGCAATCTCCCACCCCCTGCTGCCCAGCTGACTGAGAGCCAATTTTCTCCTGGTTAGCTGTCCATGCATGCCATACTGTGCAGTAGTTACTCCTGAATACATTTGCTACTTGTATTTACAGGTAGCAAATTTACTTGAGATTAAAGCAAATTTCTGTGCAGTAGGTGCCCGCATGTGTAGACAATGATGGTTACTGCACAGTAGTTTGCTCTAATCTCAAGTAAAGCATCTCATGTAGACGAGCCCAGTGGTTGCAAATAGGAAGTGCTGGATTTACAAAACAGGGACAACTTTTAGACTATAAATTCTTTGGGGCTTAAGTACTCTCATTCACTATTGGTCTCTACAGTACTGTGCAGAACAAGTCTGGTGGGTTGACAGGCACTGCTGCAATATGGTTAATGGATGTGGGTTCATTCACTTCAGTGGAATTTTCCTTGCTTTCACCAGCAAAAAATTTGACCCACAACAGACAACAATTTTATTGTTAATTACTAGTCCTGACACTCATCATGGACTCAGAAAGCCAATCTGGATCCATTCCTTCTTGTGCATCATTATCAGTAATGAAAGTTCTCCAAGCCTAAGTTTTGTTCTCACTAACTGCTGGACCATCCCACTGGCTTCACTGGATTCAAACTTTTGTATGCAACTGGAATTTAATGAGCAATTCTTTCCCATATACAAATAGAATTCAACTCTTCCTGTGCTATGAGGGTGCCACTAAAAAGCAGTAAACATTATTTTAGTTGCTGCCATCTGCAAATCAAACTCTGAACACATGCAGAGGAGCAGCTGGGCTGAGCACTAGAGCTCTATGTTTTAAAGAGTACATTTCAGGGTAGAGCAGAAATCTGGCTAGTTACAAGGACTGCAATTTACCTAAAGCTAATTAACAACACTGCCATTCCAATGCCAGCACTCCCACTTACGGGAGATAAAGGATTACCTGGAGTTACTTTGCTTACTTAGAACCTGGAAGCCTTTCCTTTAAACAAGTCACAATAACACACAAAACACCAGGAAGGATTTTTTTCCCCTCTGATGCATAAATTGGTTGGTTTGGGTTTTTTTACCTTCTTCTGAACCATCAGAGATTGACCATATTTGCAGATGGGATATTGAGCAGGCTGGTTTCTCGAGGTAGTACAGAGAGCCGTCTCAGGTGCCTGGCCCATGTGACTTGCTCACATGCTCAGGGTCAGACCAGTTGCTGGATCTGGGGTCAGGGAGGAGTATTTTTCTGGCTCATAATTGCAGGGATTCTTGGGAGTGGAGGATTCACTTTCTTTGGCAGCATATAGGGTATAGTTCACCTGATGAGACCATCTTGTATTTCTTACTTAATCATTTCCCCCAGTTGCCTGAGACTTGGACATTGGTGGCTCCCTGATCTCTCCTTTTCTCTGTCTGTGGCAAACTACAGTTTAGCTTGTTATGATTAAAATTGTTGGCTAAACTGAAGCGTGATGTAAGGTGCATGAGTGAAACTTAATGGCCTCTGATGTATAGGAGGTCAGGCTAGATGATGCAATACCCCTGTTTATCATAATTTATCTGAAATAGGGTAAAATAAGAGCCCTCCCCACTCTAGGTTACTATTCAGATGGTAATCCCTTGAGCCACATCTTTGCTCAGCAGAAAACTTGAGTGGCTGAGCACTAGGGAAGTCCACTGGGAACCTTCCCTCAGTCAGTTTATAGAATGGCAGTTTATTCATGCCACAGCTCCAAGATCCTTACAAAAAAGAGGGAGAGATCAATCAATCAGTAAATCCATGTGGTTCCAAGATCCATAGGATGGAGGGAGCCACTTCTAGGTGATACCTGGCAATGAGCACCCCTGGCATGGTCTCCTCCTAGCATGAGCTACTGGTGCCTCCTGAATCTTGGGGGGCACCCACAGAAGCTGCTGCCAGCGGTGGCCCTGTCAAGAGGGGGCACCAGCCCTATTGACAGCATCAGTGTCGGCCATCAGGGGGGCACCAACCCCTTCAGGGGGGACACATGCACCCCTGTGCACCCCCTATCAGTCGCCTATGCCTCCTAGCCTACTTCTGCTTCCCCAAATCTATGCATAAGTCTTTCTGCCATTCATGACATCCACATCTATGTGTGTCTGTGGAAATAGGATCTTCCCTGTTTGAGCCTTTCTGTGTATGGATTGGCATGTCTTGTGGAAGTTCTCATTTAACTTTAAATACTATGGGGCTTCCCCAGACCTTAAGAGAGCCTTTTACTTACTTTACCATTTTTCTTCCCTGTCCAACTTTTCCCTAATGTCATTGGTCAATGGTCTGTCTTCAGATTGCTAGCATCTCCGGTGAATTCCACTGCCTCAACAATGAGGTACAGCCCTTAAGCATTTAATGAGTGCTTTTTCCATGCACTGATTTCAAAGAGGTTTTAAACATCTGCGTGAAGATCATCAGCAAAAGTGAATAAAAATCCACCTAACTTAAAAAGGGGACTTTCCTCCTCTTTTCGCAATGCTACGTAGCCACGTCATACTCTCTCTGCTGCACAGATGTGCACCCCTGCCAAGCATGTGTGCTACTGTTTGTAAGCCTCTGTGCACAAAAGTGAAGCAGCAAATTCCTCAGCATAAATGCTGCAGAGAGCCCACTATTTTACATCTGCTGGGGAATAAAAGATAAGACGACTATCTATACCATTAAAGATAGCAGATAGACCTCAGCATCTAGAGTATCTTGGCCTTATGGCTAAGATCAAGTGTAGATCCCTTTGGTATAGCCATTTTAAAGTACTCTAATGGAATTTTTTTGCCTTTAGATATGCCTCCCTCCTGCAGCTATCTATGATACTACCAAGGAACTATAAGGGTGATACCTAAACATCAATTCAAGACAGCCTAATTATACCTCAGAGGGACCATCCTTTTATGTCCAAGTCAATTCTCCCTCCTTCCCTCATCCTTCATTAACTGTCTATTCGCAATTGTTTCTACAGATAGGCCTCCTTGAAAGATCTCTTTATTCTGGTAATACTTTACTGGAGAGCTGGTTTGCAGTTAGATCAAGTGTAGGCTCAGTCTGATCTTCCATTCTGGTAACAAGATAAAGATTGCACTTGGACACCAAGATTAAACTACTTAAGGTTCACTGCAAGGAATGTACAAAACTGCTGCCTAACAAAGGAGAGGACATGTATGATCTGGGCATTTTTTGCTGGTCTCGGTCTCCTCTGTTAAGATATTCCATAACTAAGATTCTCTGCCTCTTTTCTCTGCAGCTGCGAAGGAAGCCAGTAGGAGGTCTGGGCCACACATCCACAGCAGGTCTGGGCCACACAGCTTCACAAAACAAGGTTGAGACCTATTCTCAATTGAGAACATGCAGAAGGTCTGGAGATTGAAACCTGGATTTACCTCTGAGCAGAGACAGTTAACACAGTAAACGAGTCCATAGGGTTCTAGGTAGGGATGCCATCTTTCACCTACACGGTACTTCTTGTCTTGAAACACACAGTTTGTCTCTGAATCTGTTAAAGTAATACATAATAGAAAGAGCTATAGATAAATCATACCATTCAGTGCATAAAAACAGCTGTAAGTACATAATCTGTGTAGGATTCTTTAACTCAGTTTGTAGAAGGTGCAAAGAAGTTTGTTGTAAAGAATTCAATTTTTTCTTTTCATGCAGAATCCTATTTCAGCATGAAGATGCTTTAATTTCAGACAAAGAATAACAGTTATTTCATATGGTGTTTTTTACACTGGATTAGTTCATTAGCCTTTTACTCCCTAGAGGCTTGTTTAAGTTACAAATTAAAAATCATGGTCATTCAGCCAAATTTGTAGCAAATAAAATGTTCCCATTCCAAAATCATTGCAACAGCTTTTGCTTGGGAGAGGCCCAGGATCTGGACAGCATAGGTGTTGAAATCTGGGATTACAGAATGGGGAGACATGTATTGTACTTGTACACGTTCAGTATTGCTGTAGCTCAACAACTTGATCACAGAGGAGCATATTATGCTGTTTTTAAACAGTTTGCATCAACCTGCAAATGCACTGGTGTTCGAGACATTAGGGGTCTAATTTGCAGTAGATGCCATTCTGTAATTTGGAAAGTGCATTTTTGCAGTTAGCCCTCTTGCTACCCGCTTGCTCAGCAAATATTAATGTCCTGTCTCTCACTCCTGCTAAAAACTGTGAAGGCATCTTGTTATTATACTGCTTCCACGAGAGAGATCCTCACTCTTGTCAAGCCACATGATAAATGATCACCCTCATTATAAACATACTCCATAGTATCAAACAAACACTTGTCTCCCAAGCACTAAACTGAGAGTGGAATGAATGTTCTTAGCATTCAGTCTGCTAAAAGCAGGTAGCAAGATGCATGGATTACTAGCAGCATGTGTGAAGTGATCTGCTTTCACTTCAGACAGCTGCACTGTGAATGAAATTCAGTATCTGAAAAACTAGTGAATTGACGTTGCAGCCGACAGTTTCCCAAGTTGCCTCTCCTCTGAGTGTGGATAGCTGTATACTTCGTTGTTGGTAAATAAACGGAGTAGAATAGGGAATGCTTCCTTTGGACCAACTCCTTTTATTTTGCACTGCATCCACTAGTTTAGGATGAGAAGCTGGAAAAACTGCTGACAATAAAGAGTAGCTAAAATTTTCAGCTGTAAGAATAATTACTGAGCTATGCAAAAACCGGCCAAAAGAACTGGACATGAAAGCAAGGAAAAACACTCCAGGTGCCTCCTAACAAAACCGTAGTAGTCACTGTCGATTCTAGAGTGTGTTGTTAGTTATTCCTTCCTGCCACTCAACTTCTTCTGAAATGTGTTAACGTCTCCCACAGATCACTGGTTTTCTGGAAATAGTCCCTTTGTTTTGTGTGCTTTTCAATACATCTCAGCAAGTTTTTGACAGTGCTTGGACCCTTAATTTTCTCAAAGGATAGATCTAATCCAGTTCAGATGAGGTTGTTTTTGGAACATGATAGAACTCTCTTGGAAGAGGTTTACACTAGCCGAAAACCTCAGCAGAATAGTCTTATGCATGGGACAAAATCCAGATAATCCGTCAGATGTTTATAGAGGTCACTAAAATGGAATTAAGCACCCTTTATTTAGGACATTTGAAATAAAACAGATTCTCCAGCTGATGTGTTATGTTCTTTTGGTGCGATGAAAACTGCATGGTTTTAAAGAAACACCAAAATGTAGTTTGACTTCATTGTACTAAATGAAATCACAAATGAGGAGACCGTTTTGCTGTATTATGATAATTTTAATGTAGGGACCCTGCTAAAAGACCAGTACTTCAAACATTTGTATCTGAAGATTTGTATACTGCCATATGTGTTAGACACCCCCCTGCCCCCACCACGTATGAGAGATGCATTTTCCTGCAAGTTTACTTACGTTTTATTTGTTCCAATTTACCTCCATCTATGAAAAGGAGACAGAGCATACTGTGCAAGATAAATCGAAAGTTCTCCAATCTCCACTTTTTTTTCATTTTTGCCAACAAAAGGGAAGAAAAATCCTTCAAAGTACAGAATATTGAACTGTTGGGAAGAAAATGTGAAAAGACTTAAGACTGATATCCTGTGGGACTATTTAAGTACATCTCCAATACAATTTCAAGCAAAATGTAAAAGTTTTAAGCTGCCAGGACAAAAAAAAATATATGGAGAGAGCGTCATTTAGTGGAAACATCTTAAGCTTCAGATGAAACTGCTTTGCTTTTGGAAAAGGGACACCATTCTTTGTCATGAAATTCAAAAAAATCAGTATTACCTCCTGTGTAGCCCTTATCTAATTCCAAAGCAGAAAAGCAGTCTAAATTCTTGAGTTCCTTTTTCACAAGTTGAGTTGAAAGCTTTCGCTTGAAGAGGAGCAGATCTTCTGGATGTAAACAGGGAAATATGAATGTTGTTTGTAATGCCTTAGCTGGTCGCATCATAAGATTGAATGTACTCAATATGTTAACCCTTTATGTGCGGTTAACTTTTAGTGTGAAATCCTGGCCACAATGAAGTCAGTGGGAGTTTTCTCTTTTACTGTAGTACATTCAGGATTTCACCATTAGTTAACTTGTTCCCCCCCCATACACACCTCCTAAACTCCAGTTATTTGGGGACTCCGGACAATTAATTTCTGAAGAGTTAACCCTTGCAGTTGCTTAGAAACCTATGCTGATAATCCTTGCATTTAGCAGTTGTAGCTGGAAATACAATATAAAAATGATATCCAGCCCTTTAGTACCCAAATCCTGTCAACAAAGAGCAGAGACACTAAACCCAGGTTTCTCTGAGAGCTGCACTGGTGTCATACTTTCTACAAGCATAATTATATTGTTTGTTTTAAAATGCTCCTTACTAAAAAGAAGAAAGTGATCAAATTGTATTTAACCAAATCTGGAGCTTTAAAAAAAAATCCAACTTGGAATTAAGGTGTTTTCACTAAGGTGTCTTCTTATTCCTTATGAGTCACTGTAAAACTCTTCCCCTGTTCAAAGGATTTACCAGACTAGTCTTTTTTGAATAGTTTTGATATTGGACTTGATACTGACCTCCGTAAAAGTCTGCAGAGCAATTTAGTATTTAAAAGTTAAAACAATTATATAAACTGTTTTATGAAATAAGTTCTATTCATTTGAGATCTTTGGCTTGTATATTAAAAATAGATCACAAAACAAGCTTTCACAAGGTTTCAGCTGATATACAATCAACACAGTGGTATTTACTAAACATGGAGATAAAGAAAAATAAGGACATGTTAGAAGAATAAAAGCACTGAGAAAAGGAACAATACTCAAAATACTGGGGCAAATTCTCATTGCAGAAAATTTCCATTTTAGACATCAAACAACGAAAGAGTAAACGTTACAAGTCATCTAGGGGTCGACGTTACTTTTTATAAAAAATGTCTAGGCAGGAATGTACTTTCTGACCCGGATTTCTGTAACCGGACGCTGGTGCTATGGGTGATTTTTGATCTTTTTAGGTGTGTGTTACTCTCTTCACCATGCTGTCATTTCTTTGCCCTACCTCAACACAACACAACACAACAGTAACAATGGCTATCCATCCTAGGCACTAAAAACCACACGGCCCCTCCGTTTGTATTGTAGAGACTCCTAAATCATTTAAAATGCACGTGAGAACATTCAAAAGCCAAAAGGCACTTCCTCTGCACAGAAGCAAAATAGCGGTTCACCGTCCTCCTTGGAAGCAGGATAGGAAATTTTAATTTAAGAAAAAAAAAAAGTTTGATTCACCATTCGTCCCCCCTGGAACACGTCCGTATCTCACAGAGCCATTTCTAAGCTGCACTTTTTGGGGTGTTTAAAATTAAAACCTTGCCATTTAGTCTCCGCACAGCATGCAAAACCCCAGGGCATCACTGGGCCTGGCAGAAGCAGGAACACTTACAACCTCCGGCCTCTTCTGCAGGCAAAACCTAGTTACAAAGGGAGCAGGATTCATCCTCCATCCTACCTCCAAGCTCCTTCCAAACCCGGGGCAGTGCAAGGGAGGGAGGAGTTGATGATGGAAATCTCCATCACCCAGCTGTCTAAATTGTCACCCGGAGCCGGGAGCGGCGCCTCCGCGAGCGCAGCCCGTCCGTGGGTTGAAGTCCTGGCGATGAAAAACCAACCTGCTGGATCCCTGCCTCCCCCGGGGCCAGGGCTCGACCCGCGCCAAGGAGGCAGCTCCCCGGGCGAGCCGGACCGGGACCGGGACCGGGACCAGGACACCAG